GAGCAAACACGCCATCCGCATCCACGCCTCTCCCCAGCTTCCAGGCCACTCGGGAGCCCACCTGCGCCCCTCGTGAGAAGCCGCCCAAGAAGACATCGCCTTCATGAGCACCCCATCTGGAGCTCCACAGTAGGGACGTCTGTGGAGCCGGCCCCATCCCTCAGCCATCCTCAGGCACCTTTAGAGCCTGGGACAGTCACTTCCTCGGTGAGGCTACAGCAGCCTCACATGCACGCCACAGGCAAGAAAGTGCCCCACTCCTCCAAGAGGAATGGCAAGCTCACATCCACGTCAAAGTGTGCACACGCGTGTGCGCCACAGCTTCGCTCACGAGAGCCAAAAGGCTGAAGCCGTCACATGTCTGCTGATGGACAGCGAATGAACACAAGGACTGTTCACACAGTGCGGCACGACTCAGCCACAGAGGGAAGGAGATCCTGGTGCAGGCTGGGACATGGGTGCGCCCTGAAGATGCCACACCAAGTGAAATAAGCCAGACACGAAAAGCCACACAGACCCTGGGTGGTTCACTCATGAAACATCCAGAACAGGCCAATCCAAACCAGACCAGTCATAGCCAGGGGCAGAGGGCAGCAGGGAGCTGGGAGTTCCAGCTAAGGGGCGCATGTTGCTTTCTGAGTGATGAAAATGTTCTAGTAGGCTACACAACTCTGGGAATATACTAGAAGCCACTGAGTGGGTGGACTGCAGGGTACGTGAACTTCATCTCAATAACGCTGTTCTTCAAAAATAGAAAAGAGCATCCCAAGGCCAGTGCTCTCTCAGATCACTGCAGCCACAGGCCCCCTGCTCTGGGGGACCCACCATGGGCAGGCAGGGATGCCGGGCAGTGCTTGGCTCATGCCACCTGCCCACTCAGCCAGACCCTGGCCAGGAGCACCCATCAAACCCCAAGGAAGAGGATGACAGCCCGGCTTTCCCACCTGGCCAAGCTGACTTCCTCAATCGGGCGGTCACTCACTCACTCATTCACTTAGCTAATACGACTGACGGTTGCATGAAAGGTAGGAGGTGGGAGGGCAGCCCCAAGATGGCAGCCACTATAGCTACCTTCAAGGGGCTGGCCTGCTCCAGCCTGTCCTCACTTTAAGCCCTGGAGTGGACCAGGAGGAACGGCTGTGTCCCTGGCCTTCAGTCCCTGCTGGAGGCCGTAAGTTGGGAACCCCAATGCAGATGGATGACCAGGAACGTGACTTCAGGCTCTAGACTGCAGAGGCGTGTGTTGGCTAGCTTGAGGCAGGGGGGCCCAAGGAGGTGGGAGGGGGCAGGACGGGGCAGAGGAGGAGCCCGGGGAGCCAGGGCCAGAAAGAGCCCGCTCCTGCCCCAGCGCCAGGCTGTCCATCTGCCACCAGGTACAGAAGTGATGCCGTGTCCAGACGGGACACTATCAAGCCGCCCCAGGAACACCGTCAGCTCCCGAAGAGAACCAGATGCCCACAGGAGGGAGGGTGGCCAGGGGGGTTTCTGCGCCATCCGGCAGCTTGGCTTACCTGGAGCTGCCAGGGCATGGGTTCCTGTGGGCTGGAGAGCTGGGCCCATCGTGGCTATAACTCGTCAGCACAGACAAGTGGGGCCATCCAGCTCTGAGCACAGCCTGGTGCGGTCCTGAGGGCCCCTCCACCCCTTCCCATGCACGCAGTGGGGCACTGCCTGGACCTTGCATCACTCCGGCATAGCAATAAAGGAACATCAATGGGGACACGCGGCAGTGCTGCCGGCTCTCCCTCGTCCGTTGCCTTTGTCTCTGGCTGCCCCCGACCCTGCTCCCAGTTGGAGATGTCCACAAGGGGTAGGGCTGTCATGTTGGGGTGACTGAGGCAAGGCCGCAGGCCCGCTTGCCATCTCTGGGGTGAGGGTTCCTCTCCCACTCCTGCCACGCTGAGGATGTCCAGACACAGGTGGGAGTGGTCTTGTCAGCCTTGGGAGATTAATCTTTCCGGGCGAGTTCCTTCTGCAGGAAGAGCCTGTTTGGGTTGGACGGGGGTCTTGCCCAGGTGTGGGGGTGGTGAGGCTGACGCCCAGGCCAGAGGGGCCCTGTGAGACCCTCTCTGGTCCCCATGCATGAAAGAGCCTGTGTTAGCACATGAGCCACTACAGTGGGGCCCTTGTACTGGGGAAAAGACAGACCTGCCCAGGTGCTGGTCCCTCCCTCCCCGAGCCTCCAGGCAGGAGCGGGTCATGGGAGCTGGCACGTCCAGCCAGTCCCTTCTCTGGGCTCTGCAGACTCCCGGCTGCAGCCCTGAGCATCCCCACCCAACCCGGGGCCCTTCCCGTGGGCCCTCCCCGTACGACCCTGGTTGGCTATCCCAAGCTCAGCTCCGCGGGTGCCGCATGCAGGCCTCCTGGAGAGAGGCTGAGCCCTCCAGACCCCGAGTGGGGCCGCCTGCCTACCCCAGCCTGTTCCGAGCTCCTCGGCAGCAGGCATGTGAGGTGGGTGTGGATGCTTCGGGAGACTATCCAGCGACATGGCTGGGTCACGCACACGTGGCTGGGACAGAGACCCGGGGGCTTCTGTTCAGACACCTGGCTCAGACCAGAAACCACTGGTCAGGTAATGACCCAGAAAGTGGGGTCTCGCGTGAATTACCCACCCCAGCCGAGGACCGGCAGCCCCGTTTCTCACACTGGACAGCCACATGCCCGTCCCTATCCTCCATTCTTCGAGAAATGCGCTCAGTCTCACCCCTGCGCTCATCCCCGAGTTTTGGTCTTGCCTCCATCTACGCACTCCCTAGGACTGGGCCCAGACCAGGCACTTGGCAGGCCCTTAAGGCTATGATCTCCCCTAAGGCTCTGCCCTCAGCCAGCCCCTTTCCAGGGTCAGTGGGCTGCCATGCAGAAGGATGCCCAGTGACAACTGGGGAGTGGGGGAGCCCCCAGCATGCTGTGCAGTAGCTCCCCAGCCCCTTTCTCCTTCCTGGCAGGGAGGCCTGTGGGAGACACGGGGGCTGCAACAGGACAGCACAGGCCAGGGTGAGATGGGGCGGGAGGAGGGTCTGGAGGCCCAGGCGGCTGGAGCCAGAGTCAGGGCTGCGTCTGGGGGTGGCGGCTATGATGGAGTGTGCCTGGTGCGCTGGCCGCCAGCAGGGCTGCTAACAGCCTGGCCCCTGTGTGCAGGGCTGGACATGCCGTGGATGAAAGATGGGATTCTTCTTCCCCTGCCGTGAGTTAGGGTCCTCAGAGCTCTAGGCCCCATGAATTATTTCTCTAAGGAAAATATAGTTGACTCCATTTCTCCGGCTCCACTTCCTGACCTTCCCCATCCCTTTAAATCAACACTGAAGGGTGAGCTTGCCCGGGCCTTCACCCCCTAGCTGAGCGCTTCCCCCGCTGCATCTCATCCTGCCTGCACTCTGGGCTGGGGGAGGGGAGGCTGAGCCAGCTGCCACACCATCTCCTCTTGCAAGACCCTGGTAGACTGCCCAAGCAGAAGCAAAGGCCAGGACCCTCACTCAGACCACAACAGGCCCACGCTGTGGATCGGGGTTGGTCCTGAGGCCACGTGATACCTGTGTCCTCCCGAGCATTCGGATGGGGAGGCTCACACGGCAAACCCAACTTTGTGCAACAAAGCCGTGCCGTGGGCTTTCCCCCAGACGCCCGAGTGCAGCTCTGTTCTAGTCAGGTTAGATGGTTCCCAACGTACACGTGGGCCCTGGCTTTGATTCCCAAGCCGGAGCTGCCTCCACATAGCAGGGAGGGGGCCTTGCTCTGGCCTCCATGTTGGGTTTTCTGGGGAAGCACTGGAACCGAGGGCAGGTTAAGAAAAACAGAGGACCCCCCAGGCCTCTGGAACTTTCTGAGAACGCACCAGCTGCTGCACGGAGACGGGGCCAGAAGGGGCTCTGGAGGCCATGGGCCTCACCAGATGCAGGGGTTCTGGGAAGAGGGGCTGGAAACCATCCGGGCTCCTTGGAAGGTCCTGAATAATACATCATTAAAACCAAAAATCAATTCTGTATCCAGCTCAGGGCCCCCTGGAGGCTGCCCTGGCCGGCCTGTCCAGCTTTGCTGGAACAGGAACCCAGGCCAGTCTGCCAGGTTCAGGCCCCGTAAATGGCAGCCGGGCAACCCCCTTGCTCCCACAGGCCAGGCCAGGCTAGGAGAGGCAGCACAGCACCTCTGGCAGGGCCACAGGCTTCCATACAGAACCCTTTAGACAAGAATCAGAGGCAGCAGCTGCGCGTCCTGACCTGCCCTGGGCCAACAGAACGAGGGTCTAGACCCAGGCATCCACCCAGACACTGCGAGGCCACCGGGCACCTCCAACAGGACCCTCAAGCCCACCCTCTCCTCTCTCGAAGCCCACAGAACTGTTTTGCAGTGGTTGCTGCCCACACCTTGCCCCCTGCCCTAATCACCTTTCCAAGCTGCGTCCTCCCTGTCCCCTAGGCCCAGCCCTGGGCCCATTCCCGACGGCACCTCTCCGCCATGGCTTTCCTGAGATGCTGCTGCCCTTGGATCCCTTCCTGGCCCTTCTTGGGTCCTTGCTGCCAACTGTGCCAAACTGAAACCCACAGGCGGGCCAGAGTTCCCTCACCAGGCCCCCTGAGGGCTGCTGACCTGGCAGCCCCTCCCCAGAACTTCTGTCCAGGCCAGGCCGTTCTCTCACCCAGAGCTGTCCCGTGCTCTTGCGGACCCCTCCACTCCTCCCGACGCCTCCGGGCTCAGGCTTTGAATGTTAGCGCTCAGAACTATCTTCTGGGTCATTTCACCTGCGTGTCTCATTCCCCACCTGGCATGCAGCTCCGAGGCTGTGTGTGGCCCTCTCTGGCCAACCCGCCTCCCCAGCATGGGGCCACCACGTCTCCAGTCTGCCCACCCTCAGTTCCTTGTCAACTCAGAGACCCGACCCCGGCCGCACCCACTGTCCAGACCCTGGAAAGCAGAGCCAGGCCACGTGGCGCTCAGAGTTGGGGGGTGGCTGCTGCGTGTCTGGCACCCAGAGACCCAAGAGAAGAAGGAAACAGAGCTTCCTGCTCTTTCTTCTGCAGCAGTACTTTTATTTAGGTGTCAGGGCTGCTCTGCCACAGTGCCCACCTGGGGCACATCCCTGATGGCTGCCCCGTCACAGCCCGAACCAGCTGGGGATGCCGCCCCGCCGAGGGTCACTGCTCTGCCTCTGCCGCCTCTCCTCCTCGAGCATGTCCTGGAGTGCGTCGGCAGTGCTGCCTTCGGGGCTCTGGTCTTTCTCGGGAAACAGATCTGGGAACGTGAAGGTCTGTCCGTGGGCCTAAGGGGGAGAACAAAGGCTCCAGCCAGAGCTGCAAAGACTCCTCAGCAGAGGGGTCCGTGGGGAGCCTCATGCTTTCTGTCAGCCCCTTTCTGCCGGCGCCGGATTCAACTGCTCAGAGGTACCTCCCTGGGCCTCCTGAGGCAGCGTCCCTGCCTGGAATGTAAGCAGCCCTACAGCCACGGCCCCCAGTGTCATGCCGCGGCCGAGGCCACAGCTCCAAGACAGGGCTGCTTTCCCCACCATTGTCTCTTTAGGGCCTGGTGTCTGCCCCCACCCTGGGTGCACCCATTTACTAGCACAGGGCCACCTGGCTGGACGGGGGGGCAGGGACAAGGCATGGAAAAACATGACACAAATCACGTCTGGTACCACGCTGAACCTATCCATCCAAAATGCCTCAGGCTGTCCTCACATTAAAGCTCCCCCTCCTCCCAGCCCAGAGCCTGGCAATTAAAATGAACATCACGTACGAAGAAACATGCACATGCAGCAGCTGATAAATCAGGACCGGCGCTGCCAATTAACTGGTCTTACATCTTTTGCTGAGAGTTCAGAATATGTCTGTGTTGGCCAAGCCCCAGCCCAGGCCACGGCATGTGGCTCGGGTTCACGAGAAGGAGGGGATACTGCTCTTTGGGGACCTGAGCAAATATGAGGAGCCATTTTAACTTGCTGATTACTAAGTAGCTCCAAAGATAAGGGGCAAGAGCAGAAAGAAAGAGCAGATCAGAGGAGAGGGAAGAGAAGAGGGAGGAGCGGGTCGGCACATGTTGGGGCGGCCAGCCTCCCTTCTGTTTCCAGACAGGTGGAGGAGGAGTGAGGATGGCACCCGAATCTGGAAACCTTTAGTGAGTAAAATCAGTCAAGTACATTTGGCTCCTACAGACCCTTGTTGTGTAAATAAATTTGGATGTGGGCAAGCAGCCAAGTATGATCGGAAACAGGCCCAGATTCCACCCTGCGAGGGAGGTGGATGCACCCCGATCCCTGGCAGGGGCTGGTGGGGAAGGTGGCACTGTGTGCGCTACAGCCAACCTGCAGGAGGATTGGCTTACACAGCTCTAAACTTTGTGTCTTTTAAAATACCGAGGGACAATCGTTTACATGTGAGGCTGATTGCCCTGAACGGGAGGTTTACCTTTACTATATGGAGGGGACTCTGCTAGTTTTCTGAGGCAGTCAGAAATGACAGTTTAAAACACAAACATGGCCATTTGTCATAGTTTCGGGAAGAAATGGGGGAAGCTGGTGAGAGAAAATCTGTTTCTTACAGAAGACAAACACCGTTTGTGGATGCCAAGCATGGTTTCCCAGGGGGTTCCCCTTTCTAGAAGCGTTCACCTTGTACCTAAAAAAAAAAAAGCCCTTGATCCTTCCAGAAAGGACAGAGACAGTTGATCGGAGTAAACAACAGGAAGAGAAAAATGTCCTAATGACAAGTAAACATGGCAGCCCTGCCTTCAGGAATCCCAGGGCGCCCTGGGGGCTGCTACCCGCATGGAGCCCGGAGCCCCGAGCCCGGAGCTCAGCCCAGCTGGCGGCAGCGGCTTGTTCTGGAGTTGCCTCTCATGTCCTGCGCCCTTCATTCCTGCGCTGCTCAGTGTCCACACAGGCCTCGGGGCAGCGGGCGGTCAATGGTCTTTTTGTTGTGTGGGTCACTGAGGCGCTGGTCACAGCTCCCAGGACTTTGGGCCAAGGAGATGCTTATCAGGTTGTCGGAGAAAAAAATGTGGGACTCCCACCATGTGGGACAGGGTCTTTCCACAGCGGCCAACTCCAAATAAAGTGGATAAATTTATCTTTCTAATGCTCCCTCCCTGGGCTTTGCAATTAGCAGTGATTCTAAGCCCTGGCGCAGGGCCCAGGGGGACACGCTGAGCAAGGTCTCAGTAGACACGAGACAGGAAAGGGCCTTGAGAGTCCCCTTTGCGGGGGACAGGGACCAACGGCCGTGGCCCATTTCTAGGCTGTGCAAAGATCTGCCGGAGTTCAGGAAGGGGGTGAGGACCCGTTACAAATTTTAATTCTGGAACCGGAGGAACCATGCCCAACAGGGACCCTCCAGGCTCCCAGTTGCCCTGCCCTGTCTCTGGCTGCCTGGACTTCACAGAGGGAGAACGACACACGGGCAGCAGCTGCAGACACCGGATCCCGGCGCTGCTGGGTTCAGTTTTCATGGGAGGTGGGGCCCAGAGGAAAAACGCAAGGGTTCGGATGACTCGAATGCCACTTGTAACCGTAGCTGCCTCTGAAGTGCCCGTGGCGGTGCCGGCACACGGGATGTCCACCCACATGCCATGACAAAGACAGATGGGCCCAATTGACACTGAGCACACAGAGGCCTTTATGAGGCCAACGGCTGCTCTCCCCACCTGGATTGGCTGATTTCATGCACAGCAAATATTAGGCCAAGTTATTCCGGGGGCCCCTGTTTAGAACAACAAATGTGACTGTTTTTCAGAAAAGCTGCCATGTTAACTTGGCCTTTTGAACAAATTGCCTCCTTAGCCCCAACGTAAGCCGGCTGGCCCAGGAAGCGGTTTTCACAATAGTGTTACTGCCATCTAGTGGCAGGGGCCACTGGCTCAGCCTCCAGGGACCGTTTACACCGGAAGACAGCCCCATCCCCACCCAGTAAGGCCAGCCCCAGGGGCACAGCGGGGAGGCCCAGGAGGCGGCTGGGGCGGTCTGTAGACATCTTGGCCCAGAGAGAAAGTGCCTCTGGGTTTGCCTGGGACTCAAAACAAAGAGCCCGAAGAAAGGCTTTGAAACTGTGGGTCTCACTCCTGACAAGTCTGGGTTTCAGAAACTAAGGCCCAGGCAATGTGGGGTGAGGGTCCTTCTTCCCCAGAGCCCCTCCAGGACACATAAGAAAGCACCTGCTCAGAACCAGCCTGTTGAGCCCTCACAACTCTGTGGGACTGCTACCCTGCAACGCAAGGCACGGGCCTTGGCCAAGACCCCGGCCAGCCAGACCTGCCTGGGCACCAAAGACCTTTGCCCTCAGGGGCCTCAGACTCTGCCTTCGAGTCTGAAACCTGGCCAAGGACAGGCTCTCCAGAGGCCGGGGCCTCCCATGCTCAGACACCCTGGTGTGTGTTGGAGCTGAAACCCACTAGGCCTGTGATGGCTGCTTTTGCCCAGAGAGAATTCAAACTTCAAAATCACAAAATGGCTGGACGCTGAGACGTGCCCCATTCGCCCCAGCGCTCACGTGCTCCCACCGCCACCACTGACACCCCCAAGGCCGTGACGGAGCACGACCTTATGTGGAGCCTGCCTCTGCACTGCGGCCCTGAGATCCGGCCTCATGGGGGCTCCCTGGGCCCCAGCGCAGCGTCTCTGGCACAAACATCCCCAAGGACACAGTTGCAAGGAGCCCCTCAGAGGCCCCGCCGGGGCTGGCCAGCTCACACGCACCAGCTGCACGTAGGCGACCTTGTAGTCCGGCTTCTTGATCCTCACGTTTCTGTGATCTCTTCTCTTGTTAGAGCCTGCCGGAAGGGAGCGAAAAAACAAAATCAGAACTTTAAAAACTTACATCCTTAGAGGCCAATACCACTAAAATGAATCTCTGCTCTCTTAAAAATGCAAAGATGTTTTTAAAAACTCAAAAAGGCGATTTCTTAGGGAAATGGGCACGGAAATCAAATGAGCCGGCACAGCAGGCTCGCAGGCTCGTCCCATCTCCGAACAGAGGCCAGCAGACTCTCAACAAAGGAGCAGAAACGGCACCAGCCAGAACACACAACAGGGGCTTATGGAATAGAGAGCGCTTTGCTGCCCAGCCTCAGCCACCGCAGTCCCACCTCGGAGTCAGGGCTCAGAGTGGACGCCAGGCCAGCCCAGTTGAATTCCAATCCCTGCTCTGGCATGTAAGCACCGTGTGACCCTGACAAGTCACCCTGTGCCTCAGTTTCCATGAGCCAAGTCAGACCAAGACCCCCAAGCAGTGGCTGAGGCTGTGGCTCGGCGAGGTGGGCGTGTGGCACAGATGGGCACAACACCAACAGGAGAACCTCCTGTGGGCACTCACCATACTGCACCCGTGTCCGTACGGCAGCCACGGGCACGTTATAGATGCTCTCGAGGTAATTCCTGAGGTCTACCCTTGTCATTCTGGAGGCGAAGGAGAGAGAAAAGGGCATCTTAACCAGGCTAGGCCAAAAATATTGTCCCAGACAAACAAGGGTGAGAGGCCGACAGACCAAGGCCCACAGCGGGCAGGGAGGAAGGCTGGGTGCTGGTGCCCGGCACCAGCGGGGTCAGGCAGCCCCAGCAACACTAGTGCTACTGGTCACAAGGCTCCCTACTCTGGACACACCAGCATGGGGTGGCAGTGGCACAGACCCCAGGGGGTGGGAACACTGCACAACCAACCCCTGGCCTGCTCCACAGCCCCACATGGCTCCCTACTCCGGGCAAGTGCCTGTGCGAGGTGACAGTCTCCGCACACTCCTGGCTGGCAGGTGCCCCACCTCGTCTGCCCTGGGGCCCGTCGGCAGCACCAGGGTTAGGGCTGCTCTGCGGCTGACGGTGCTCTGCGGTTCTAGGAAGTGCCTTCTGGAAAGGCCCGCCTGGGATTCGGTGCATTAACTGCATGTTCCCTCTACTATAGAACCTCACGGTCACTGTCAACTCAGCTTCTGGGCCTCTGCAGGTGGTAGAGTCCTGACCTCTGCCCCCAGGCGAGCTCACGCTGCTGTCCCGCCTGGCTCGCGCCAGCCCTGAGCTAGGGACCTGTGATCTTAAACACTGCAGAGCAGCACCCCAGTTTTGTTCACAGGGACTGTGCATTTCTCTGAAGGTCAAGGAGGCTCTTCTGAGCGGTTCTGCACATCACGGCCTGCTCCCAACCCAGCCTCCCAGGGTGCCTCTCCTAAAAAGAAGTTGCAAGAACTCAACAGAAGACGTGAGCACAGAGGTCCAAATTTTAAGGCTTCCAGTGAAGCCCTCCCCCGCGGGAGGGCGGCGTGCAGCAAGCCGGCTGGGCTCCCCACCTACCAGCACTCCATCAATACTCACCCAGCAGGGCTGCCTGAGGTGCCTTCCCAGCAGGAAGAGCTAGCACGTGAGCTGAGTTGTTTAACTCAGGACCCAGGCCCCCCAAGGGTGCTCTCCCAACCCAGCCAGACTCCTTCTGGGTTCACTCCACGGGGATCCCCCCGAGGGCGCTCCCCCACCCCAGTCGGAATCCTCCCGGACTCACTCCATGGGGATCCGGAACTGCACGGTGTCCTCGGGTTGGGCCACACCGGGCCGCACCAGCTGAATGAAGAAGTTGGTTCGGAACACCCGAAGTTGTGGGCCACCCAACTGGTACAGGGGGTACCTGTACAGAAGAGATTGGGTCCACGTCACACACTTAGGCCACGGCAGTCCGACATGCCAACCCTGCAGACCTCCGAGTGTCCACCAACAGGGCGGGCAGGAAAGGGGGCAGCTAACCCTGCAGACCTCCGAGTGTCCACCAACAGGGTGGGCAGGAAAGGGGGCAGCTAACCCTGCAGACCTCTGAGTGTCCACCAACAGGGCGGGCAGGAAAGGGGGCAGCTAACCCTGCAGACCTCTGAGTGTCCACCAACAGGGCGGGCAGGAAAGGGGGCAGCTAACCCTGCAGACCTCCGAGTGTCCACCAACAGGGCTGGCAGGAAAGGGGGCAGCTAACCCTGCAGACCTCCGAGTGTCCACCAACAGGGCTGGCAGGAAAGGGGGTAGCTAACCCTGCAGACCTCTGAGTGTCCACCAACAGGGCGGGCAGGAAAGGGGGCAGCTAACCCTGCAGACCCCTGAGTGTCCACCAACAGGGCGGGCAGGAAAGGGGGTAGCTAACCCTGCAGACCCCCCCACCCCGCATGTCCACTCACAACAGGGGCTGGCAGGAAAGGGGGTAGCTAACCCTGCAGACCCCCAGGTGTCCACTCACAACAGGGGTGGCAGGAAACGGGGTAGCTATCAACAGGTCACCACCCAAGGACACAGAGGTCCCCACAGCCCCTTTCTTACATGGGCCTGCCAAGGAGGACAGCCAGTCCCTAGCATTGACTCAGGGAGCACGGGCTGTTGACCCCCAAGGTCAGACTTTAGAAAGGGCCAATGAACAAAAATCAGAACCCCGCAGACAGCATTCCCCCAATAAGCTGGTGGCAACGCTCAAAGACGTGCGTCGGGGCACTGATACCCCTGGGAGAGCAGACCCTCCGCAGCTGGCCCACTCTCCTGTTGCTCAGGTGAAGTGGAGCTGGAGAGGACCACACGCCATGGGACAGAAAGGCCAGCTCTGCACTCTCCTGGTGGCAGCAGGGCCTAGCTCCTCGGGATGGAGAACGCAGGCAAACCAGGCTCAGGCTCCTGGAAGATGGTGCTGCCAGCAGACTCTGGTTCGGTACACTAAATACAAGCTGACCGCCGTACCCCACCACCCCGCTAGAAGCCAGCGGAGGCAGCTGGAGAAGTGCCAAGTGGCCACCGAAAACTAGACTAGCACTCAGCCTGGGCTGGCGGGCCACGTGACAATCGTGCAGAATCTCTAGTCAGTTGGTTTTATGCATTCTCCCATGTCCAGCTGGGTGGACAGGCGGCGCCTTCCTACTGCCCCCCACCCCCGTTCCATCCCCTGCCACTGCCCACACATCCTGGCTCTATTTGGGCCTCAGAGCCGGGAGGAGGGACACAGGAGAAACTCAGGTCTGCAGGGTCTCAGGGGATGTGGGGTCTGAGAGCCTAGGTGCAGGTCTTGGTGGAGGGGGAGTACAGGGGCTCTTCAGGAGTCTCTGGTGACCTATCTGAGGCACTGCACGTGGCGCTGACCTTGGGGAGCACCCAGCAGCAAGTTAGAGAGAGGCTCCATAAGGCTAACGCTGCCCCAAGCCTCACATGAATTTCACACTGGTCTCTGCCTGTCTAGGGAAGATAAGGAGGAAGTGAGGGTCAGAGGCCTTGGGTGGGGTGTTCCTGAAGGGCCAAGAGTGATGGGCAGGGCTGAGCCTCTGGGCCTGGGGGCCTGGCAGGGGCCAGGAGCTGCCGGGAGCTCTGAGAGGCAAGGCGCCTGTAGCAAAGCCAAATCACTAAGAATGTCCACCCCAGGCCTCCTGATGACCACACTGACACATGGCAGCCTGGTGGCTGGGCCAGTGGGGCTGAGTCTTCACTCCCCCAACCCCAGCAGAGCCTCCTCTTGGGCATGGCCTTGGCCTTTCCAAGCCTCGGAGTGCAGCCTTCAGGGGTGGGCGCCAATGAGAGGCCGAGAAGGAAGGGTGGGCTCTGGGTGTGGAGGGGCCTGACTTGTTTTACCCACAGGTTCAGGCTAGCCATGGCTACCCAAGGGGTTCACACATTCCCTCTGGTGACCAGCTATGGGATTGCAGGAGGGGAGACAAAGTTTGGGGACTCCCAGGAAACAGTAGAAAAGAGGGTACAACAGCTCCCAGGCCATTAATTGTCGAGTCTCCAGGCTTGGGGCCTGAAGGGCACACTTTGCTAAGGGTCTGAAGGCCATGTGTGGGCTTGAGGTGAGAGGCTGGCAGGGGTTGGGCCAGGACTATTCACTGTCCTTGTTCTGACAGGCAGAGCCTCTCCAGGAGGCGGCGCGGGCTGTCTGCGCATGGAGCCCGCAGATCTGGAACAATCTGCACTGTCCACACCCAGGGCTGCGGGACAGGGCTCTAAGGCCTCTCTGCAGGACTCGAACCCTTATGGGCCCACCAGCCCTCAGTTCCCTCAATCCCACTCTCCCCAGGGAGCACCCCAAGCACTCCCCATGGTATTTCACAAGCACCTCCACCGTAACCTATCTCAAGTAGAACTCTGCACTAACTTCTTCCTCAAAACACAAAAACCTGGCTCACTGCCACCAGTCTACCTCCCCACGGCCCCACGAGGGACTCACCCAGGATCCCACCCTGTCAGCACCCCCGCCCCAGCTGCATGCAGTCCACAGCAAGTCCAGTCAGCACTCCCTGCAAAGGCTCCCCAGCAACAGGAGTGTGTGCACTGCTGGGCGTGCGGGCCCCGCGCCTCCAGGGCAGCCACACCTGATGTTTCCAGGGGCCCACCGCCCTTGGCCTTTCAGGAACACCCCACCCGGGTCCTCTGACCCTCACTTCCTCCTCATTCTCCAGGGACAGGCGAAGGGCCAGCGTGGAATTCACGTGAGGCTCAGGGCAGTGTAGGCCTAAGACCCTTTCTTCCTGGGTGCTGGGTGCTCCCCAAGGTCAGGGTCACGTGCAGCACCGGTCCCAGATGTCTGCCGAAGGAAGCCTCGTCCACTGAGGGTCCCACCTGCCACCCTCCCCTCTCCCCCCAGCTATTTGCAGGGACCTCCAAAGCCACGCCCTGGCCTCTTGACCGTCTCTCTCCAGAAATACTGATTACCGTTCTCCAAAACCCACCCGGGAGCCCACATCTACTGATGACGCCTGAGTCACTCGTTCACCAAGAAATATGCAGGGTTTCCTGCTTCAATTTGGGGAAGGCGAAGTGGGGCAGGACAGCGCCCTGATGGCCCCTGGGAATCCAGAGAATATGCAGAGTGGGCGTGGGGGGTCTGGGCTGCGCAGAACCGGGTCTCCGGCCCTGCCTGCCCCAAAGCCGAGGGCTGTGGTCAGCTGCCCTTTCCCACTCAAACCCAATCTGGACTCCCAGCTCCTTTGCCTCAGGCCGCGCCCGAGCTGCGGTGGGGGCCGCCCGTGCCTCCCCGCCTGGACCCAGCAGCCACCGTGGCCCCTGTCCCGTGACGACCAAAAACGTCTCCAGACAACGCCCTCGGCCCTGGCAGCGGGACCACCCCCGGGCCGCCCTCCCAGTGCCCCCGCGGGGACACCGTGGCCTCCGCGGGTTTGGCTCGTATCCTCTGTCGCCACCTCGGACACACCCGCCCCCCGGGGTTGCCCTAAACCTGGCGGGGGGCCTCTTCCGCCACCCGCCTCACGTGCCCCAAGCCACCATGGGGGTCCCGGAGGACCCCGCCTCTCCCGGGCCAGGAGGGGACCCAGGGACGCCCACCCCACTCCCCGGAGTCCGCGCGCCCTGTGGGGTCCGTCTGCTTGTGACACTAAGGGGCGCCCCGCGGGGGGGGGCGACGACCCCTACTCACACCACATTCCGCGCCATGGCGGCCGCGCGCGCTTCCGGGGCCCGCGAGGCGGAAGGAGCAACACGCCCACCCCGCACGGCCGCCGCCTGGCACAGCGCCCCCTCGCTTCCGGAGGCCGCGCCGCCCGCCCCGCACACGCCCGCGCCCGCGCCGCCTGCCCGCGCCGTCCCCAGCCCCGCGCCCGCCCCGCCCCGCCCCGCGCCGGCTTCTTCCACCTCTCCTCCCCCCGCCTGTCCCGCACCCCACGTTCCACCCCGCCCCGACCCCCACTCCCCGCGCCGCAGGCTCCACAAGACGCAGGACCGCAGCAGTCCCGCCCCGCACTTCCTCCCTCACAGCCTGAAGCCGGGGCCCGAGCCCCTGCTGCTCGCGCTCCGCCCACGCCCGCACCCTCCCCAGCCCCAGAGGCCTCTCGCCGCCGTCCCACTCTTTCGGGCCTGTCTGCCCTGCCTCCCAGAACCCGGGCCTGCACGCCCCCCACACCCGTGCCCCTGCCCTTTGGCAGCTCCAGGCCACAGCCTGGCCCGCACCGCTGCCCTTGCAGCTGCTGGGGGCTGGAAGTGGAGACCTGGGGCTGGAAGTGGAGACCTGGGGAGGGCGGGTCCCCGGGTCTGGGGTCTGAAGCCCCTCTCTCCTGGCTGTTTTCCCCCCGCGTCCGGAACCCCAGGGCCCCTCCCCTCGCCCTTCTGGCGAGCCCGGTTGGCAACCCCCACACCGGCCACACACTCCATCCCCGGTGCTCCCACCACGCCTCCTCCAAGAGGGCCACGGGTCTCTCCAGGCCTTGCCATTTGCCCACCCCCTCTCCACCCTTCTGGCCAGCCCCCTCCAGCCTCTGGCAAGGCCCTCTCTACAGGGACCCCGTCCAGGGCCCAGTCCTCACTCCTCTCCTTGGGTGGTGCTGGCCAGGAGGGCTGCTGGGACCTTTCGGGGTAGGGCGGCAGCCTCCCTCCCCTGTCCCCAGGCCTCTCCCTCCTCCCGTGGTTTCCTCTGCCTGGTGGCTGGATTCAGGCCACTTCTCAATCTGTTTAGCTGCCCGTGACCCCCCACCCCCAAGCCTGGCTTGTTCCCACACCCAACAGCACCCTAAGTGCAAGAGGCAGGGGTGTCGGGGGACCCCGAGAAGCGGGGCCATGGGTCCTGGCTGCTGCTGGGGGCAGAGGGCCCAGGCCTGCAGGTGAGGACAGGGCTGCCGGAGGGCACTGGGGTTGATGGAAACTCAGGAGGAGGAGAGGGCGCTGTGCCCCTCCGAGGGCCTGGGCCAGGTAGGGCTGATGGGTAGGTTTGAGTGGAAATGACTCCAGGGGGTCTATCTAGCTTGAAGGCATTGAAGCAGGATGGAGTGAGAAGTGGGACAGAGTGGGCAGGGAAGGTGGTGGCAGCTGTCCCCACTGTTGTCCAGGCCTGCGTGGGGTGGAGAAGCTCCAGGCTGCCAGTGGTAGGGTCCCAGGAGGCTGGTGACCAGACAGGCCTTTGCACAGCAGCAGGTGCCCTTGGCCAGGCCCAAGGAGCAGACCGCAGGGGAGAAGGGACAGGAATGGAGCTGGAGAAGGGGAGTCCTGGGGCCGGGGGTCCTCAGGCTTCCTTTTATTTTCATGCAATGCTGCCTTTTTCGGCAGTCACATTGTGCAGTGTGCTTAGAGATATGTGGCTGCTGGAAATTGGGTTCAAAGTTGTGGGTGGCTGATGTGGAGAGAAGAGTGATGGGAGGCCGAGCTGCGTGTCAGGGGTGGGTGCTGCTCAGATCACTGGGGCTCCTGGAGGGCGGGAGTCGAGCTGGGAGCTGAGATCCTTCCTCAGGGAGGGGCAGGGATAGGGTCTCAATGGAGCACCACCCCACTCCTTCCATCCTTTCGCCACTCCTTCCAACCCTGCTTCTCTGATAATCTGCTAATGGGATCCTCTGGAAGGCATGCTAAGTATGGGGGTTCTCTGAGATGCCTGGGGAGCCAGTGGGGACCTCCTCTTCCTCCTTCCCACCTGCCGTTGAACACAAATGCCAGGGTGACTTCCGCTCTGCCTGCCCCTCCTGAGATCAGTGGTCTGCACGAGGTTGAGGCTGCCAGATGAATACAGGCCCAGTTAAATCTGAAGTTCAGATGTTTATCTGAACAACTAATAAATTGTCATTATTTATTTATTTATTTATTTGAGACGGAGTCTCGCTCTGTGGCCAGGCTGGAGTGCAATGGTGCAATCTCAGCTCACTGCAGCCTCTGCCTCCTGGGTTCAAGCGATTCTCCTGCCTCAGCCTCCTGAGTAGCTGGGACTACAGGTGTGCACCACCACACCCAGCTAATTTTTGTATTTTTAGTAGAGACAGGGTTTCACCATGTTGGCCAGGATGGTCTTGATCTCCTCACCTCATGATCTGCCTGCTCCGGCCTCCCAAAGTGCTGGAATTATAGGCGTGAGGCACCACCCCCGGCCCTTATTTTATTTTATTATTTTATTTTATTTTTTTATTTTTTATTTTTTGAGACAGAGTCACTGTGTCGCCCAGGCTGGAGTGCAATGCCACAGTCTCGGCTCACTGCAGCCTCCACCTCCCAGGTTCAAGCAATTCCTCTGCCTCGGCCTCCCGAGTAGGTGGGATTACAGGTGCGGGCCCCCAAGCCCAATTAATTTTGTATTTTTAGTAAGGATGGGGTTTCACCATGTTGGCCAGGCTGTACTCAAACTCCTGACCTCAGGTGATCCGCCCGCCTCGGCCTCCCAGAGTGCTGGGATTACAGGCATGAGCCACTGCACCTGGCCCAATAATTGGTCCTTTTTAAGTAGACCTTATCTTTTAGAGCAACTTTGGGCTTACAGAAAAATTGTTCAGGGAGTATACAGAGTTCCCACAGACCCCTCTCCCTGAGTCCCCCTCCGTTATTAACATCTTGCATCACATGGTGGAATCTGTTCCAATTGATAAACCAGTATTGATACGTTCCTGTGAAGTCCAGAGTTTACCCCAGGGTTCATCCTTCCAAAATGTCCTTTAGCCACCATTATGGTGTCAGACAGAAGCGTCACTGCCTGAAAAGCCGCCTTGGCCCCGCCTGTGCGTTCCTTTCTCCCCCAGCCCCTGGCAGCCCTGGGTCTTTCCACTGCTGCCTTGGCTTTGCCCTTTCCAGGCTGTGGTGTCGTTGGAATCATACAGCACGTAGCCTTTTGAGATTGGCTTCTTTCCATGAGTGAGATGCAGCTAGGGCTCCTCTGGGTCTTTTCGTGGTTTCATAGTGCATTCTTTTCCGGCCGGATACCGTTCCGTTGTCTGGATGTGCCTCGATTTATCCATTTGCCTGTGGAAGAACTTCTTGTTTACTTCCAAGTCTCGGCAGTAATGAATAAAGCCTCTGTAAACACGTGTATGCGGGTTTTAGGGTGGACACAAGTTTTCAATTCATTTGCAGAAACACCCAGAAGGGCCATTGCTGGTTGTATGGTAGGAGGACGTTTGGTTTTGTAAGAAACTGCCCCGCGGCTTTCCAAAGTGGCCACACCGTTTGGCGTTCCCATTGCAGTGGTGGCGCTTCCTGCTCCTCCACGTCACCCGCATTTGATGTTGTCAGTGTTCTGGGTCTGGACCGTTCTCATAGGTGTGTCGGGACACGCTCTTCTGTGTCCACCTGCTAGACCTGAGCCAGGAGCCCCGCTGCAAGGGCAGCCCCTAGGCTGAGCTTTGTGAGCCAGGCTGGGGGAGCTGGGGCATTTTTACAGTGAGGGACCCTGAAGGATTTTAAGGGAATAGATGGACAAGTTCAGCTGGGAAAGCACCTTCAGCCTGCAGATGAGAATCAGGTCAGAAGGTGGGGGAGGGGCCGTTCACACATACACTCATTCATTCATTCATGCAGAGGGTGGGGGAGGGGTCGTTCACATACACTCATTCATTCATTCATACAGAGGGTGGGGGAGGGGCTGTTCACACATACACCCATTCATTCATTCATAGACTCATTCATTCGTCCAGCCAATAAACACACAAAAAAAGTGCAAACAGTTGTAGTGAAGTCAGTATAAGCGCAAACCGATGAGCCACCATGTTCAAATGCAGGTTTTCAAAGGTTAGGAAGAATGGCAACCCCCTTGGTTTTTTTTTGTTTTTGTTTTTGTTTGGTTTGGTTTTGAGATGCAGTTTTGCTCTTGTTGCCCAGGCTGGAGTGCAGTGGCGCGATCTTGGCTCACTGTAAGCTCTGCCTCCTGGGTTCACGCCATTCTCCTGCCTCAGCCTCCCGAGTACCTGAGACTACAGGTGCCCGCCACCACGCCCGGCTAATTTTTTTGTGTTTTTAATAGAGACGGGTTTTCACTGTGTTAGCCAGGATGGTCTCGATCTCCTGACCTTGTGATCCGCCTGCCTCGGCCTCCCAAAGTGCTGGGATTACAGGCGTGAGCCACCGCGCCCAGCCTGTTTCTGCTGTCTGTGTGTGTGTGTGTGTCTGTGTCTGTGTGTGTGTCTGTGTGTGTGTGTGTGTGTGTTTTGAGACAGGGTCTCACTCTTGTTTTCCAGGCTGGAGTATGGAAGTGCAGTGACACAGCGAGAGCTCCTTGCAGCCT